ATGCCCTCTTTCAATTCATCACCATTATCAAACATTTCATCCTTTTAACTTGCATCTCTCCATCCTCCCTGGCTACTGACAGCCATTACCCATCAGCCTCAACCTTCCATGGTCTTTGTTTCCCTGCCCCCTACAATTCCACTCACCTCGCCAGATCAGTGCAATCCTACCTCATTTTGCCCTTCCCCCCCACCTGAAGCTGTCTGCACCCTCCACTCCATGCTTGTCCTGGGCAAGGAACTCATGGTAGGCCCTGGCTCAATGTCTTTGGCTCCAGCACTGGACATTGAGTCTATGTGCAGAACCTGGCTGCCACCTCCTCCTGCACTGCCATAGTTGGCTTCTTTGCTACTAAGTGTGGCGTGGTGCTCAACTCCCACTTCAGCAAGCTGCTGGACAGCAGATATGCCCCATGGATGCTCATTGAATTTGTGTCTGCCAGTGGCCTCTGTAAGGCCCTCATGCTCAGCGGTTCACCCCACCCTCCACCACCTCCTCCATCTAATCCTCACATTCCCCTCAACCATGACCTTCACATACAGGCACCAAACATTTCAATGGTAAGGTCATCTCTGTGGTCCAAGCCAAGTCAGTGGAGGAATGGGAGGCCAAAGTCAAGGCCTGTGCTGCTGATCAATGCAAGCGTGCCAATAGATCTACTGAGACTCAAGCCAGACAGCTTCACCAAGCTGAACAGAAGGCCCACAATGACTCTGCCATTGCTGAATACGCCCAGCGGGCTGAAGCTGTGGCTGTGGGCTTCAGCCCCATCATCTAACTTACCTTCCTGCCCCACCCAACCCCCTCTTGTGAACAGCATTGCTCACCCCTTAGTAAAGTGCTCCTCCTTCTTGGCTTCTTCTTCTTTCTTATCCCCAGAGCCCTGGCTGCTAATGCCACCAACAATGATGCACCTCACACCAAATACCCCCTGACAAATAGATGCCACCTTATGTACCCCCTGTGGACCAAGGTTGGTCATCCCCCACTCTGGTTCCTCAGCCACCCTGCCCACAAATGCCATATGTATTGTATTCAACCCTGCACAATCACCTCCCCACAACCCCTCTTGCTACTACTCGCTGTATTGGTCTCTTCCCCCTGGGGGTAGAGGCCACCTGCACTTACCTGGACAGCACCACTGGAGACACCATCTTGTCCATCACAGTCACTGGTGGTGTCCTTAACCTCGTCTCCATCAACATCACCTGTTCACCAACTCATTTGGACATGGTCAATCAGCTCATGTCAAAGCACAGGTGGCACATTGTGCTAGTTCAGGAAACAGGCCTTCACATGACACTGATGTGGATATGGAGGACCACATCCATCACCAGCTCACCAATAACATCCACTTCAATTCCCCTACACCCACCCTCCACGCCAAACAAACTGCAACTCTCCAAACTCAATCACCAACTTTGAGAAGGACACATCTTGCAGACACAATTCGACTCTAAAAAGATGACTATCAACAGCTCCCAAACCTACACTGCAGGTGGTTTGGCCATTCTGGTGGCGCCCTCAGTGGCCTGCTATATCCAGGTACACAAGAAGCAGCAATCCTGTGATCCTGCAGGCCACTTGGTGGCGATGGCCTTCTTGTTCTCATTGGAGGCGTTGAGGAGGGTCTCATTGATGCTCCTAAGCACTGTGAGGAGATTCTCCTGCATGAACTAGGTCACATTGAGGCCAATGATGTGGGGCAACATAAAGTGCATTGCCTGTTGTTTCATCCTAAACACTTTCAGAATAGCCTCACTCCAAAAAGCCTTGACACATGATCAAAGTTACAAAGTGAGTTTGTCATTGATTGTTAACTGATGGTTGTGTTGTGATGTGTGCACCTTAACGCCACTAATTTCTGCCCATGTCCTGAGCTCAATACCCTCATCTGTGCTGGGAGCTGTCTTGATGACTCTTTCTGGGTTGCACATGCAGACACTGTCAAGTTCAGCTGGCACAAGCTTGAAAAAGCCACACTGGTCAGACTGCTATCACCCTTAGAGGCAATCAACTGTGAGTGCACTGCGCACATGATGCATTTCCTCAACCAGTCCAACAGCACCAGCTTCCTGAACTCTAGCCCTGCCCTATGAGCCCTGTTCCACTGTCCTGCCATAGTCTGCAAACGCATTGACCTCATCCTTACGCCTTGCAGGGTCATGGTCCTTGATGTGGATGTGCTCAACAATGTTGCCACTGGAGTGGACCACTCTCCTGTGGCTGTGGCTGTATGGGTGGGAGTGGAGTTGTCCCCTGTCGCTGAAGCCTTGCCAGCCACCAGAAAATTCGCCACACACCACCTCCATCTCCCAGACGTCACTGCCAAGTTCTCTGCTGCCCTTTCACCTATGCCAGACACCCCTGACAATGATGTTCTCACCAGAGTACACAAGGTGGCCGCCTCTGCCCTTATGCCCCTTGCCCACCACAAAGATGGTGAGGAGGTGGGTCTCACCTGTAGGTTTTCCCACAAGGCCATCAAGGCCACACACTATGTCAAGATGAGCATGATGGACAATGCGCCAATAACAACCACCACAGCTATGCACAAACTTGCTGCCACACCTGAGTGGGCCTGCTGCCCCCTGCCCCCTTGATGGTCACATGTTGAGATGCTCATGTACCTGTCCCAGGTCCAGTGCAGGTCAAAGCTCTTGTGTGCGCGCCTGGAAACTCTGCTTCACTCCAGGGACCAAGATTGCATTGGCTGCCTCCTCCTCTATGAACCCCTCAACACTCCAATGGCACTGTCTATGTTCTGGCGTTGTCTCTCCAACTGCAGTTCCCCTAAGTGTATTGAGGCTGCCACTATCATTGAAGATGGAATCAGGGTCACCTATCACAACCCTGCATCCATCATCAAGGCCTTCTCCAAGTTCTGGGTGGAGCAATACTCTCCAACCAGTAAATACAACAGGCATCACCCATGGTTCCACATGTGTTGCACTCCCCTTCCTCCCACCACCATCAGGAGCCTCACTGTGAAAGAATTCAAAGAGGCGCTTAATAGTGCCAAACAAGGGGCTCCTGGCACTGACAGCCTGGACACTCAAGTTCTCCAGAGCCTGCCACCAGTCAAGAAGGACCAGATCCAGGAACTCATGAGTGAGCTTATTACCACTCAGGCCCCACTTCCAGCCAGCTGGCTGGAAGGCCACATCATCCTACTGCCCAAGCCCAGTTCACTGGCAGATCCTGGAAACTATTGCCCTATCTCACTGCTGCAAGTAGTCTATAAAGTCTACACTAAAATCATCACCAACCACCTATTGTTGGTGGCTGGTGAACACATCCTCTTGCACTACCAAATGGGTTTCTGTCCTGGCATGTCTGCCCAATTGGCCCTTAGAGTGGTGGTTGATGTGCTTGAGGACTCCAGCCTATGCAGTACTGAGCTGCACCTTGTGTACATTGATTGTAAAAAGGCGTTTGATTCAATCACCCATGATGCCATATTCCAGGCACTGGAATATTATGGCGTAGGCCCTCACTTTATGCAACTCATTCACAGGCTCTATGAGGGTGGACATTCTGATGTGTTCATCAATGGTGAGGCTGGCACACCATTCCCCATCTCACAGGGGGTGCACCAAGGGGACACACTCTCCCCTCCCTTGTTCATCATCACCATCAACCCAATGCTCAACTGGGTTGCCACCAGGCCCAGTGGGTACCACTTCACCAACAACCTCTGTACTCCCATCATTGCATACTGCAACAACCTCATGCTCCTCGCCAACCGTGCCTCCAACATGACTGTAATATTCTCCCAACTGCTCCAATTTTCCAAATGGACTGGTTTGGAGTTCAATCCCACCAAGTCCACATACACGTCGACCCAAGCCAGCGTGTGTGCTTCTTTACAGGTCCCAGTGGTGAATGGTTCCCCCAGCCACATGGACATAGTATACCTCCCCAATTCTAAATCCTACAAATATATGGGAGTGTGGGTTAACCTTCACCTGCAGTGGAGCGACCACACAGTTTACATGCGTAAAAAGGTCATCGCCCACCTCAACCTGGAGCGTAATCGTCGACTCACCATGGACAATCAGATATATCTCACCAACATGGTCCTCAACGCCCACGTTGCATACGGTATGTGCGTCATTCCGTACGCATACGACTGGCTGGAGAATGTCCAAACCATGGTCCTGCAGACGCTAAAAGGCTCCATGGGGATCCCATCCAACGCTGACAACGACTTACAAACCGCCATCACCTGTGCGTGCACACTGCAGGAAATGACGTCAATTTCACTGAGCGCCCTCACCACTGCTGCCACGTGGAACCACGCGTTGTCACCAATGAAACAGCCGTAGCGCGCTGGGTCTCTGCCCTGAAGACACAAGGGTGGCAAGCATGGCCTAGGTGGCGTGATTTAGATTGGGTGGGGCACCATGTGCAGGACCCATCACTCGCGCACTCCCTCGTCGCTAAAGGCCTGCACAGATGGTCGGACATCTTTCGCAATGGCGTGCTACTCCCGCTACCCCACATCACCCACACGCTGGGCATCGCCCTCACTGCCCAGGAATACCACCTGATCGCGTCCTCGGCCACTCTCGCCACGCCCAGTCGGGCCGGTCCGGTTGAGGTAGCCGAGGCGCGCCTGAGGGAGGTCAACCGATTTTCCATCTCGGCAGAGGAACTGGTGGACCTCCATTTTCATCATCCCACCCGCACCCTAACAGTGCGTCGGCGAGTCGGCTGCCGGCGCGGTGTACTACGGCAAGGGCTCCCACAAGGCTAGATATGGTGCCTTACCCGTGCGGGCCGTGCGCCACCACTTCTACTGGCGCCGCGCGCCGGGAGGACCTACCCCCATCCCGGCTCCCGCGGCTGCTGCCGCTGACACTAATAGAAAGGTCAAGTGGCTTGCCAGGCAACTGGTCGACCAGGGCCAGTTGTGCCCCGCTTGCGGGGTGGACAAGGAAACGAACATGCACCCCTTCTCAGCTAACTGCCCGGCTAACGTGGACATAGCTACCCGCACGGCCCAACAGGTACAAAGCCTCATACTCGCCGCTGCAACTACTGCTGACCCCGTCGCCACTGATATTCCCCTGTGGTTTCACGCTGGCAACGCTACACTCGGCACCGCCCCCTGCGCATATGCCCCCTTCGAAGAGCTTCGTCAGTATGCTCCGGATATGGGCACCCTTGGTTACGTCCCCAGCGCGCTACGCAACGCGCTTGACTATTATGGTATCCCTGATAAGGGCACCCTCATTCGAAACATTGCTGTTACCATCGCCAAAGGTGCACACTCTATCTGGCTGGCCCGATGTAAAACCCTCGTGGACAGTAACGCCTGGAAGACGGCGCACGATAGCGCCAAATCCCTAGTGGAGGCCGGCGCATAGGCGCCGCCTCGCCACCAACGACGTGGAAAGGGAGGTCATTGCCTCTAGCCCCGCTTTGCGGGTCCTTTCCGTCGACAATAACCAACCAACCAGGTTACAGTGCATCCTACCACAGCCCACACACCTAGTGGTGCAAAAGGGAAAGCTCCCCGGGCAGGGTTCGAACCTGCGACCTCACGGTTAACAGCCGTGCGCTCTACCAACTAAGCTACCGAGGATTTCCTTCGTGTTTTGCGTCAAATCACTGACAGGCGCCTGGCGAAGGCGGTCACTTTTTTGGCCTGTGCCACCTCTCGGCGACTTCTCCACAAACGAGCGTCAAACTCTTCACGCCACCAGCCAACCTAAGCCCTCTGTGATTCAGCCCATCTTGAGTGCTCCAGCTGCTCCATCTCACCACAAGCACCAGGTAGAGGTATCAGGTCCTGCCTGCAACCACCATCAAACAGAAACGCAACCACTCACCCTAACCATCAAGTAGGTTGTAGAAGAAGAAGAAGAAGCTATGGGAAACGTAGAGTCAAGGCTTGAAGACTATGGGGTGTCCATGCCTGGCCTGGGCGCCTGGCACACCAAGGCCATACCCACCACCCCCACGGGCACCCAGCTGGAGGCGGTCAAAACCCTCATTGAGGCACCGCCTTGAGGGACATGATTGAGATTCACGAACGGCCACTGATCTCGCTGGCGGCCAAGGACGACCTGCACACCAGCTTCAATCGTCTCGTTGAGTACGGCATCCATGCCGCCCCCGTCTACGACGAAGTAGAGATCGAGAGCGGGCTGGGCGGCAGGAGGAAGGTCAAGCAGTGGGTGGGTCTGCTTGACTGGCGCGACTTCGTGCACTACGTCATCCAATTCTTCGATGAAGGCGACAAGGTGCTTAGTCAACACCCTCCCTCCTCGCCAGCTAGGGTTACTTCATCTTCATCTTTGAAGATTCATCGAACCAACTGAATCTTTGCCATTCTACGCAGTTGGGGATGTTGTTGTCCGAACAGTCCGCTCGGGACATCGCCAAGAACCACCCCCTGCTGCCCATTGTCGAAGATGCCTCCCTCCTTTCTGTCCTCGCCGGTACTCCTACGCCCCATAGGCCACTTGTTTCTTTGAAGGCCCTCTACATTTTTATTTCCACATATCTGTCATTGGCTGATGAAAGGCTGCAGGGTTTGGCCAGCAGGGGGTGAGGCGCAGGCCGGTGGTGGCCAAGGACGACCAGGGGGAGCGCATACTCACGATCGTCTCCCAGCTCGACGTGGTCCGTTGGCTGTCGCGCCACCACAAGCAGCTCAGCCCGGCCTTTAGCAACATCACCATCCAGAACGTGGTTGAGGTGCGTTTGCTTCGCTCTTCTTTGCATTCTTCTTCGTTCTACTCTTCCTCTTCTTCCTCTTCACTTGCTTCATCATCATCATCATCATCATCATCTCATGCATCACACCACAGAAGGAGCAAACAGACCCGCGGTTCAGCAAGCTGCGGCAGGTGTGCAACGTCATGAAGGACACCATGATGGCCGACGTCCTGCGTCTCCTCGACCAGTCCAACCTCAACGGCGTCAGCGGTACACACCACACACACGCACACACACGCACACACGCACACGCACACGCAAGACACGCGTTCGCTGACGTGTGTGTCGTGGCAGTGGTGGATCACGTGGGCAAGCTGGTGGCCAACATCAGCGTGAGCGACCTGCAGTACGTGGTCGAACGCAACCTGGACAACCTCTTCATGACCGTCGAACACTTCCTCCAGCGCGTGCCCCGCCGCCCGCTCATCACCTGCCCGCCCACCGCCACCCTGGTCCTCCCTCCCCCACTCCTCCCACTCCTCCCCTTGCTCCATGGAACCAACCGCGTGTGTCGTGTCGTGTCGTGCGGTGGTGTGTGTGTCGTACAGATGGAAGTGATCGACAAGCTGGCCAACGCCGGCGTCCACCGCATCTACGTGGTCAACAGAGGTTCGTCGTCGTCGTCTCACAAATGTGGTCCTCGTCTTACTGACAGGGGTGTTACGCGCAGACGAGGAGCCGATGGCGGTGATCACGCTGACGGACGTCATCAACGCGGTGCTGCTGCTGGCCACCCACGACGCCACGCTCGCCTCCGACATCAGCGCCAAGTGAGCGCGCCCTGACCCACGTCGAGCCGCCCGACGGTTGTATATAGCGCAGGGAACCAATAAAAATAAATAAAAATAATAATAATAAATATGAAACAAATAACAAGCCAAAAATATAAATAAATAGAAAATAAATTCAGACTAGAGGACGGAATGGAGTGACATCAGAGGCCCAGGGCGGAGCGGACTTCGGTCTTGTCCTCGTCGTAGGGGTAGGCGGCCACGACGACGGACTCGAAGTTGTCCGGGTCGACCAGCTTCGGGTGGCACAGCACGCCCGTCATCGTCTTGGCCTCCCCGAAGTGCTGCACCTCCACCAGCTCGGCCACTTGCGCCTGCACACATAAAAAATGAACAAATAAATGAACGATTATAATAAATATAAATAACTATAATCCTAAATTAAATGGTGTGGTTAAGGGGGGCACGAACGCAGGTGAAGCTGTGGCCCTCGGCAGCGGCGGTGATGAGGCGAAGGCGGTCCTTGTCGCGCGGCATGCGCTCCAGCTGCTCCTTCAGGTTCGCCAGATCCTTCGCGCCAATCACTCCCTGTTGCTGTGCTGCCATTTCTTCTTTTTATTTGATCTTGCCCGCTCGTTGTGTTGCTTCTCCCTCGGTATGACCGCACACGCACACAGCCACCTTAACCATTCCGCCCCTTTCTTGGCCTGGCGTGTCTCTTGCGCCAACATTTATTTTATTTTTGATCTTTTATTGTTATTATCTGTTTTATCTATCATTTATCTGTTGCCACATGGACGAGTTCAAGCCGCACGAGGAAGGAGCCGCAGACTTTGGGCAGGTGCCCATCGAGAAGGTGCAGGAGTACTGGGACAGACGGCCCTGCAACCTCTTCCACTCCACCGCCGACCGCGGCACCCGCCTCTACTTTGACGAAGTCGAGCGCCGCAAGTACTTCGTCGAGCCCCACATCCCCGGCTTCGCCTCCTTTCCCGACTGGAAGGGCAAACGGTTCGATCCCCTCTCTTCATTCATACATTACTCGATTTGATCCATTTGTAAAGATGTTTGATCAAATCTGATGGTGTGAAATCTGATGTTGTCATCTGACGCGTGCGTGGGGTGAAGGGTGCTTGAGCTGGGGTGCGGGCTGGGTACGGAGAGCATCAACTTTGCGCGCCACGGGGCCGAGCTGACGGTGGTCGAGCTCTCCCAGACCAGCCTCGACCTCGCCCGCCAGCGGTTCGAGCTCTACGCCTCCACGCCGACTTCCACCAGGCCAACGCCGAAGAGCTCGATCAGGTCTGACCTCTATCTCTTTATATCTCTTATATATATCCATAACATGTTATATATCGTGACTTATATGTCATGATATATTACGGAAACACCTAGGTGCTGCCCGAGGGAACGCCGCTGTTCGACTTGGTGTGGTCGTTCGGCGTGATTCACCACACGCCGCACCCGGAGAAGGCCATCCAGCAGATCCGTCGACTCTTGAAGCCCGGCGGAGAGCTGAGGTGCGTGCATGTGTGTGCGCCATCAATTCGGCCGCTGCCTGTTGCGTTGTGTGTCTCCAACTTGGTGGCCAACAACTTCGCAACAGAGTGATGCTCTACTCAAAGGTGAGCTTCAAGCTGTTCTTCCTCATGAAGGAGACCGGCGAGTGGGACTTCTCCAAGATGGACCAACTCATCGCCAAGTACTCCGAGGCCCAGACCGGTACATACACACCTGCAAGGCATGGCCGCGTCTGGTTCAACCAACATGTTTAGTCACTCATGATGTGCCATGCATATATGTGTGTATATATATATGTATATATGTGGCCTGTACTATACAGGTTGCCCCGTGACGTACACCTACACGTTCGATGACGTGCGTCGCCTGCTGGAGGGGTTCGAGGTGGTCGAGATGACGAAGGACCACATCTTCCCCTGGAAGATCGATGACTACAAGCAGCACCGCTACGTCAAGGAAGACTACTGGAAGGTACCACCTTTAGCGCCATCATCACCTCTCCCTGCACACGAGTGTCGTGTGCGTGCGTGTCGTGTCGTGTGCGTGTGCGTGTGCGTGTCGTGTCGCTATGCAAGTCCTTACACGGGTGCACGGGCAGGACGTGGACGAGGCCACCTTCAGGCAGCTGGAGCAGGAGCTGGGCTGGCACACCCTCGTTCGTGCGCGTCTCCTGTAGTGCATTCCAAGCATTCCTCTTTTCTGTTTTAGCCTACGTGGCCAGCCACCTTAAGAGATAGGGGAGGAGGTGGCGGCGAGGGCCGAGGCGATGTCGAGGGTGAAGGAGGGGCTGGCCGAGGAGTCGGTGAGGGAGTCGAGGAGGAGGCCCCGCTTGGGCTCCTTGTCGAGCGAGGGCGTTTTTCGGAGCAGCTTGAACAGGCCCGTGCCCACCGCGATCGGAATGCCCATGATGATGCTCTCGCTCACCTGTGTGTGCGCACCCAGCCAGGTCAGACAAACCGCACACGCCACCGCACGCACGCACCACCGCACACGCACACGCAACGCGCGGGAGGAATGCGTACGCCGGTGATGGTGTCCTGGCGAGCGTGGAAGGAGGCGTTGAAGAGGTGGTCGGTGGTCTTTTCGAAGGAGGCCAACATCATCACGCTGTCGTTCATCTTGTCGATACCGTGCCGCGTGATACCCAGAATCTCACCCTACACGTGTCGTGTGTCGTGTTGTGTGCGATGATGAGTGTCGTGTGTCGTGTGTCGTGTGTCGTGTGTGTCGTGTGTGTCGTGTCGTGTCGTGTTGTGAGTCGTGTTTTGAAGAAAGGGAAGAGCGTACTCGGAAGCACATGAGATCGGCGAGAAGCATGACGTGGCGCGTGTCGATGTTCATGCCGTGCTCCTTCATGGTGTACTGGATTTCGTTCATGATCGTCACGCGCGCGGCTTCAATGCCCAGCGTCTGCCCACCCAACCACACCATTGCTCGTCAATAAGCTGCATAGTGTGTGTGTGTGTGTGTGTGTGCGCGCGCGCGCGCGGTGTGTGTGCGTGTGTGTGTGCGGTTGTGTGTCTGACGTGTGTGCGTGTGTGCGTGTATGTGGTGTATGTCGTACGGTCATGACTTCGATGATGTGGTTGGAGGTGGTTCGGGAGCCGACCACGCCCGGGGTGGCCATCACGGAGAGGAGGTTGTAGCCCTCCACCAGCAGGTTGTACCGCGCGTCCGCACCCGAGCCCTTCTTGTTGATCACCGCCCTCGACACCGTCGGAATT